TGTGTCCAGGCGTTGGAGAGCAGTGAATCGAACAAACTATACTAGATGTACAAACAACCAAATATCACTTGAGGTGCAATCCTGCGCTAACATGTCTACTGACGCATGCGCATGTGTGTTGCGGTCCTCTCTTTCCTAAAAAAAAAAATTTTACTTTTGGTGTCAAAAAATGTTTTAGTAAGTCCTTATGTTTTTTTTTATGAACAATTATAATTTAATTAGTCTTAAATTTCCAAAAAAAAAATTATTGTATATTAATTTTTGGTAATAATTTGTCATTTGAGCTATTAACAATGGTAAAACTGGCCTAAAATATGCAAATCAAAACTTGGTAGCATTGAAGACAGCGGTTATACCACTTTAATGAGGTATCCGCTTACTCGTACTTGTACGAATTCAACTCAATAACTTTTTTGTTGCTGTTACATGTATTTTTTTTTGTTTGGCAAGAGAACAGCGCGCAAGGTTAACGAGCAGAGAATTTGTGAATCGAAGACAACTTAAATTGCAGATTACTGAGTTCGTTGGCATTCACTTAAATATACCCGCCAAAAATTTATTTGCAATAGAAAAAAGTTAGATCAACGGTACAACTAATGAGGCTGGAGAAGACGAAATATCCGCAGTCGGTAAATAAAACATGAGAGTTTGCGTAACCACGCGCATCTTGCCATGGACCCCTAAGTTGCTATGTAAATAAATGAAGTTTACTTGTTGTCTATCATAAATCTGAGTCAACAACATACCCATTATAACATATAATATGCAACGTCGAGGAAGTGAAGATCAACTCTTAAAGTATTAGAGATAAAGAAGTTGTGGAGTACTTATTTCAATTTGCGATCGAACACGATAGCATGCTGAGCTCTGCGTATTTACTTTGGCTCCGACTTAAAGTGGATTCTACGGTTCTGATAATAGTTGATGCCGTGCCGTTTGATCTTAGGATTAAAACACAAGTTGGGGATTATATTTCCTTGGCAACATGAGAGTGCTTGTTTTAGAGATATTTTCACTCTTAATTATATCATAATTATAATTATTATGTTATATAGTAACTACTACATTTAAATGCGTATCAACTGGTTGAATGTGATCGCATCAAGATCATTATAATCTAGATCATTATAATAAAACATAAGAAGAGTATAATAAGCATATTTCTCCTTTTTATTTCCTCTTTATTTCAAAAGTAAAAACAAACAAGTTTTAATATTAGTCCAATAAAGTGCTGAAAAAAGTTTGAAAAAGCAATATCTAGTACTGAATAAATATGTTTGCAGTGGAGCCGTCATAACGGCAAATAAATACAAGCATAGAAAAACATGTAGCCATGCATGCTTGAAGGATACCTTCATGCATTAACAGGAAAATCGTATGCTCAGATGCTTCTTTGCAAAAGTTTGTCTAGCACAAATTGGCAGAGCAATGAGGCTAAGCAGAAAGAAAAGTTTTTTACTGAAATATAGTTATTTTTCATGAGTTAAAAATCTTGTTAATGCAATATATCAACGTAATCTTATAAAATATACCTTTTTAACGAGTAACACTTTCAACTGCTTTTTTCCATCGTAATATAATATAACGAGCAAAAAAGTTTGATTAGGATTAAAAATATTATTGTCGCTCAAGTTGCTATCGCGGATATTTGAGGAAATTCCATGAGGTTATTAAAGCTAGACAAAGATAGAGCTAGATATATTTGTCGCATGAAACAAATAGTGACCGAAGTGAAGTTTTTACATATCAAGAATTGTCTTACAAAAAAGAGAAATCGAAATGAAGTGATTCAACGAAGATATACTTGTATAGTTGTGTTTTGGATGAAAACATTAGATGTGGCAGCTTTTAGGTTGTTCTAAAGAGAAATCAGTGACTTGTAAAATAGTTTAAGAACGTTCGATACTCGCTGAGTAAGGAAAATTGTGGCTATCGAACTGAATAAGTAATAAAAATTTATTTGTGATAAGAGTGGGAGGTCGCTGCACTCGCTACTCACTATCGACACAAAAATTATTTAAAGCGCTTATGAAAATGACAAAATTTAACAGTTCAACTCAAGTTGATATGCACTTTTTAGCGCACATGTCAAATGCTGGATTTACGGAAAAGAAAAATGAAAAAAAAAAATGAAAAGAAATAAATCTACTGCCACATAAAGTGCCTGAAAACAGCTGCCAATAATGCACTCATCTGCAAACAATTTTATTTAAACAAAACAATAACAGCAACTACGAAAAGAAGGAGTCTTAACAGATTTTCTACAGCAAAAATGCACAAGTAAACTGCTTATGCAACTTATACTAAGCCGAACTTAGCCCGCTTGCCACAATACGAATGACATGTTGCATGCCACAAAATAACTACCAAAGCAAGCTAGCAACAGCAAACCTAACCTAAAAAATATATAGCAATTGCACATGAGCTTATGAGCATTAATATTTGTATACGAATCTACGTATGTATATGTGTGTGTGTATGTGCGTGTGTACAATCACAGTTGGAGACGTTCAAGCAAGCAGCAAGCTGGCGGCAGTTTTGTTCGTGCAACATTGCATGCAAAGTGGAAATTCAAATTTCAGATTTTCTGCAAATTTTTACTCCATAACATGTCACAGTTGTTTTCTTCTTCGCTTATGCGCTCCTACGTAATGGTATGAGTGAAATCACACGCTCACGTCAGCGTATGTGTTTGTGTGTGTGCGGCGGTGGGTGTGCGCTTAAGTGCAATTTCGTATATTACATATTTGCGCCAAATTGCTTTAAGTTAACTAGAAAGTAGTGAAATGAATCCGTAATGTAGAAAGCATATTTTCCAACACAACAAACAGCAACAGCAACAGCAACATCAACAACAACATCAAACAGTTATAGTAACCTATATCCACATGAAAAAGGAAATTATTGTATATGCACATGAATATATTCATTTGCCAGCTAACCATAGCAAAGACATGCACAAATGGCGAGTGTTTATTTTCAAATTATCTTCTTTTTATTTTTGTGTGTGAAGAAAGGCAGCTGTCGGTGTAGCACTAAAATGTGGATATTTTATGCGCCACTGCTAGAAACATTTAATTTTTAGCATTTAAACCTGCTCGGCTATAAGTACGAGTATTTTTAGTATCGCTTGAGGGCTAGGCCAGCACAGCTTTTTAGTAAGGCCTACATTTTACAATTTATTCTGTGTATAAAGAAAAAACAATCGAATTTTACTCTTTCAGTCTTTATCAAACATGTATTTTAGGGTAAAAGAAAATATGTGTTGACAAACTGAGACCGAAAGGCGGTCACTCCTCATTGCTCTTTCAGCAGGGCCTCTATGGGCGATGGTAATCTTAGAAATTCGTGTCATCTCAAACAAAATAAAAAAATAGTATCTTTTTATGCATAGAACTTGCTACTATAAAGTTTTTAGCTTTACATAACTTTTTCGCAAAATGTTGTACTTGTAAAAAAGAAATAAATTTTTCAACGAAAATATTATATAAGCAATAAATTGATAAAAAAATGGGGCAGCTATAATAAGAAAACAGTATGTAGCTTCATAGGTTATTTTACTGTGAAGTAAGGTAGCTAGAGTAAATGTCTGACAACGCATCTAGGCCTTTAGGAGACCATTGTGGGACTTAAATCCTTTCACTCAATTATGTACTCTCTGAATCACCCCGTGCTTTTGATGAAGTCTATCACTACAAAAATTGTTTTATTTGTGCAACCTCCGAGACAGCGCCAAGAAACCCTCGACGATAGTTGCGTTGCTTTTCCTATACAAAATCTTGCATTCGCATATAAGGTTCAATATGGTTTCTTCTTCTTCTACCTCTTGACAGCTTCTACAATAGTTGTATCTTATTTCCAGTCTACTGGCATGTCCGCCAATTAGTCAGTGAGCTGTTAGCACTCCTACTATAATTCCTATCTCATTCCTGTTGTATTTTAATAGTCGCCACGTGTGGCTCATATTCCAGTCATGCCACATTTGCTTGCGATTGTTGAGCAAGTGAGGGATTGGCTCTGCAGAGACTCAGCTATATCTGTAATATGTTTCGCGATTAAATATCTACAAGTAGCCAAAGGCATATAAATGCCCTCTTTTTCGCGGTCTAATTGAAGGCTGGTGCTTGCTCTGGCTAGTTCGTCTGCTTCATAGTTACTAGGAATATCACTATATCTTGGAATCCATTGCAGGTTTATTGTGAAATAGGATGCTATAATTAATCAAGAGATTAAGGCATTATTTCACTATCTTTAATGAAACCTTAAGACATTTTCGTGATTTCCAAGCCGCTTGACCGCTTGGCTATCTGTATATATAAATACATTTCTTGTTGTAAGCCCACTCTTTATCAGAACATGAGAGCTTTCTTTAATTGCTGTCATCTCCGCTTGGAAGACACTGCAGTATTCTGGTAGTCGATTCTGGTATATAATTTTTCAGAAAAGACACCACCTTCCACTCGATTATGTAGTTTAGACCCATCCGTATAGATACTTCTCCACACACACTGTCCGGCTCACCGCTATTCCACTTTTCGTTGGAAGCGAAGGCTATATTGGATACCGAATTTAAGTTTAATTCTATAAGATTTCAAAAATCCGTGGTAGTGGGTAGAAACGGGATTTTCTAAGTATCTTAGAATGTTCCTTATAACAGACTACTATTTGAGAGGATTCCCTTAGTCAAAGAGCTGATTTCGCTGCCAGTTGCTTGCAGAACAAATCCGTGGACAGCAAATGTACAATAGTGTCTGACTTGGCACTGTTCTCAGAGCTCCAATGATGCATACAAGTATAATAGCTGCTCTTTACATGCTTCCATACGCCTAAAAGCGTTTTTTTTTATTATTGGCCACCATAGCATAATACCGTATGTCGTCTGTGAAGCTACAACTAAAATTTCACGTCAAAATATTTCATATCCTCATAGTTTCATAAGTAAAAAGTCTTCTGATTCACTTCTCGTCAACCTGGGTATTATTTCGACATAACGCAGTACCATGACATTGAACTGCGTGTGTCATCTTTTAAAGATTGGTATGTTTTAGAACCTGTACAGTGTTTTCTCGGTGTAACTTGCTGTCTAGTTGAAATCAGTAGTCAATGAGACCTTTTCGTCGTATTTCTGGGCATTTATAACACGAACCAGCAAAATCGCTTTTTTTTCTAGGTATTAAACCAAAGCAAATTTTTTCGAGAGATTGAGATTCATCAAAACTCAAAAGTCGGTTATTCGAAAAAAAAAATTTTGAAATACTGGCTCGACTTTCAAACTGGTGGCATCGGTCATATATATAAGTTTGACCGAGAAATGCTATACACCACTGAAATAGGGGCAAAACGTAGATTATTTCCATTTTTTATATAAGTTCAACTTCGAAATTCGAGCGCAAAATTTCGATTTAGGTAACCTAACTTTGAAATTTTTTTCTGCACAATCTCTAGAAAAAATTCCCATGGGACTGTTATACAGGGTAATGATCAAACATCTACCGATATTGTTTTTTATGGTCTTTTTCGTTTCGTTTGAAGAAAAATAGATACTAGTGATGAGTTTGGACAAACGTCGGCCCAAAGTGTTACTTTCTGGTTGCTCATAATTTTTCTGTTCCCAAAGATGCAATTTACAATATTTCACCAAACTGTTTGAAAAAGGTTCAACGATATGAACCTTATGTTAAGACAGTTAATGCTAAAGCTTTGACTTTCAAGTACTTACTACAATTATCTCTAACCAGAACAACTATGCTTCAAGCTTACTTAATTTTACTTATCTTCAAGCTTGCATAAATTTATATCGTGCGAAAGCAAACGTTTTTGTTGTAATTACGGAAGGTGCCATAAATTTTCACCTCTACACAGCCAACTATAATAAATCGAACTGAATTGCATTTACTAATTTACTAATACACACAACCTACCTTCTTCTTTCTTTCTCTCACCCTTTCTCTATCTTTATAGCTACCGTGCTGGGCAGTCGCCATGATATGCTTACGCTTAGTCCCTCCGATCGCTCGCTGGTGCGTTATACCAACGATTCGCTGTTGGTGCAATGCCGCAGCTCAACTACAGAGTCGCAGCTGGTGTGGCGCTCGCCGAAAGGCGAAATAATTAAGGAGCACAAAGGACGCATACACATCGAGCAGAGTGCGCCAGGTAAGTGCGAAGAGTTAGTGTTAAATTAACGGCTTCCAACATGCATGCCGAGCGCATACCACTGTCTGTGCCGCTATGCTTTACGAGCCCACACACAAAGGCGGTTAGGTCTAGTAAATGCGTTCGTGTGTTTGTTGTAGTTGTATTTGAGTGCTTATTAAACTACGTTGTTAACACAAATCATTGCTAATTTTCCTTTTTTTCATGTCTTCGTGTTCCAACTGAAACGACTCTGGCTACACACGCACACACTCTACAACAACTGACTAACGGACTCTTATGCACCGCCTTGGACTTACACTGACGCTGCCGGCTCATCTTTTCAAACCTTTGTCACCGTACGCCACAGATCAACTGACAATTGTTTTCACACACATTTCGCTCGGCGACAAGGGCAAGTGGCGCTGCGAAGATGCCAACGGTGATAGAGCGGAAAAATCTTTTGAGCTCATTGTCTATCGTAAGTAGCGCCGCCGAGTGTCAGACCACATAGACGCCGCAGGTGAGACGCATGTGCAGAGAAAATACCTTTTGTGCAACAATTCTTGCCTCTAAAGCGGAAAAGTCGTCTGATGAGGCGGCTCATTAAAGTCGTCATTGTCTTGTAGCTTACGTGCTAAAGCTTTCTTTACACAACTTTCTTTTGTCTTTCTTTGTTGTTGCAGAAAAAATCGCTTTCACCGAGAATTTCACCATTCTCACGGTGAAGGAGGGCAAGGATGCGTTTATACGTTGCGAGGTGAAGGGCGAACCGCAACCAAATGTCACTTGGTATTACAACGGACAGCCAATTATTGTTGAATGTAAGCTCAATTACTCATTTAACTGTACCATATATATATATATACTTATGTACATATTTACGAAGGACTGTATGTATGTAAGTAGCCATTTTATTATTGCAGACGTGCATTGCAGGAAAAATTTTCTTCTGATTAGATGAGAATTCATTTAATTATAAGGCAGTACGTGTTGAGAAAAGTTTCTCCAAGGACTTATGTCGATATTTTTTTTTCAAACCAGCTAAGTTCAGCCTGCATTCTACTACATGTAAGGAATTTTTGTTGGCCTTAGCTTTATTGGAGCGCACTTTTGTTGTGACTTGACTCCATTATAATGCTTTTTATAAGGATTTATTTAGAAAGCTCATGCCTCCGGGGAGTTCGACTGCCGATCTATTTATTGCCCATCAGAAATTCGAGCCAGAGACATGCATACATTTTAATAATTCCATAATTATATCCTGCACCCAGAAGAAAACGTCGGAGACCCTATATAAGTGATCAGTGTGGCGAAGTGTATAGATTTTTTCCCCACAGATTTTGAGATATCCATCTGAAATTTTGCACACGTTCTCTTCTCCCCAAGAAGCTACTTATTTGTCGGAACCGCCGATATTGAACCACTATAGCATATAGCTGTCATACAAACTAACCGATAAGAATTAAATTCTTGTATAAAAAAACTTTTTCATTTGACGAGATATCTTTACGAAATTTGGCATGGGTTATTGTTTAAAGCAATGGTGCCATCTCCGAAGAAATTGTTCGTTTAAACTCAAGTTCATGTATGAAAAACTTTTTTACTTGACAGGATATCTTACATACATTTTTGTTCAAGACAAAGCTACAATCACTAAATATCTTGTTTAGATCGGACCGCTTTAGCATATAGCTGCCATATAAACTAACCGATAATCATCAAGTCCTTATATAGAAAACTTGTTTATTTGACAATATATCTTCATGACATTTGACATAACTTTTTGTCCTAAACAATGCTAAAATCTCCAAACAGGTTGTTCAGATTGGACCACTATAGCATAGGGCTGCTATACAAACTGACTGATCAAAATCAAGTCTTTATATAAAAAAATTGTTTATTTGACAAAATATCTTCCCCGAATTCGCCTTAGACTTTTGTCTACGGCAAAGCCACAATATCCAAATATCTTTTCAAGATCGGACCACTATAGCATGTAACGGATATACAAACTGATCGATCAAAATCTAGATAAAGGTCTTTTTTATACCTTTTTATACCATACGAACATCTTCTGTGAAGGGTATTTCAGCCTTGGTGCAACCGTAGTTAACGTCTTTTCTTGTTTCAAAATTTTCACTTTTCCATTAGAGGCTAAATACTGAGTGCACCACCCTCGTATAATACATAAAATGTTGAAACCAATCGAAAAAATATGCACATTTTAAATTTGATTAAACATTTTGGACTTAAAAAAATATGATTATATATTTTAATCAATGCTTAAAAAGGTGGCAACTTAAGTTCTCCAACTTGTTATCCACAAAAAGAAAAATTATAATTTTTTCAATGCACTTTTCTTCGATTGCAATGGCAAATCTAATAATAATAGAATGTGTGAGAAAAAAAGCATCTAATACTTGTCCTAAATATACTCTGACAAAACAATCTAACAACAATAACAAATTGTATTGTATTCGTCTTGCTATCTACTTCTAACAGCATTTACGGGAAACACAACGAAATTCCAAATACTGGCTGACGGATTACAGGTTCGCAAGGTAACGCAGAACGACACTGGCGAGTATACGTGCCGCGCCTACCAAGTGAACACAATCGCATCGGACATGCAGGAGCGCACCATTTTGATGAAAATCGAACGTGAGTAGGATATTTACTGCCTATAAATACACATACATACATACATACAAATATATGCAATAGCCACACTAACCTACATTGTTGCACACACCTAGCTGCATACTCATACATACATATATGTACATACATATACACACATATATAGGAAATGCCATAAGCCGCGCTGACTTCCTTTGCCAGCGCTCAACGCTTGCCGTGTAGTGGTGGCAATTTTCATTTAAACCCACAGATCGCAACGCGTTTACGTATTTGTGTATGTGTGTGTGTCAGCTGCTTCCTCTGCTTTTCATATTCGCTCTAAAGCATTTGTCAGTTGGCAGTCGTTAGTGGGTAGTTGGTGTGTGTTCATTTTGCTATCTCCGATGATTTCCGCGCGGAATACTATTTTTTGTTGTTGTTTTTTGAAGACTATTTCCGTCAACATTTGCTGATATCTAAGCGCAATGGCCGAAAAAGTAGCGAATTGCAATTGTTTGTTGTAGTTTTTTTTTTTATTGTTGTTTTTGTTTTTTGTGGACATATTCTTTATTATCTCCGAGTTGTCTGGTAAAAAAATTACTTTGTAAATTGCATTGCGTTTTTGTTTTTGTTGCTGTTATTGCGCAAATATTCACTTTGGTGTGTTGTTCGTCATATATACATATACACACATATGTGTATGTGTGTGATTATAAGCGTGTGCGCCCTTATTTTTCGAGTGCCCGAATTCCGACACAAATTCTGCCTTCTCAAACCACCGTTTTATTTGTTTGTTTTGTTGTCTATGTTTGCACACGGCGCTGGCTTTCAATTCATTCAGGTCTCTTGATTGTGTTTTCGTGACTCACGTAAACAAACTTGCCATACAAACACACACCCACACACATATGCATGTACACATGTGCTGCATCTCCCATAGTGGTGATTTTGTGTGGAAAGCATGGAGCTGAGAAAATGCCACTCGTGCCGCCTGCAATTGATTGTGGCTTTGGGTTTTTTCCACATGATAGCATTTTCTTGGACACTTTCGTAAAAACAACAACACACACACACATACATAGGCACCGCTTGCATTCGCTCGTGCATCGTTTTACAATTTTGTAAACCTGCTCCCACCTGCGTGCGGCCACCGGCGGTCGGTCACGTGATGAACGTCGAAAACGCAGTTTTAATAGATTTTTATGCCTTTGCTTGCCACCTTTCGCCACCGCTGAACTAATTTTAATGTTTGCTTTTGATGAGCTTTTAGTGTTTCTTGAGTGATTTCGAATTCGAATTCGATTTTTATTGCCGTTGGCGAATACCATTTTTCCGCAATTTTCTGCAGCTTCTTGTAGCTCACAGCTGCGGTGATTTATCGCAATGTGTATTGCTTGGGATTAGGCTGAAACGTGTTTATGCTCCAAACGTGATTATCTCGTAAATATTTCACAAATGCCATTTTCTAACTGCATAGGTCACTAAAGAAATCATTCTTTGCTCGGAAAATACATGCTTTGTTATTTATCGTGTTATTATTTGAGACAGTTTACTCGAAAATGTTGTTAGACGCATTGCTAGATTTTGGTCGGAGAAATCATTTTGTATTTTTGCTCAATCAGAATTCTAGCAAACTACCGATAAAGTGTTATTCATGCACATAAGATATTTAGGGGCTTCAAGTACATATGTAGATTTTTTAGGGTGTAACCTGAACAGGACTAAATCTCAACTTCAGACCCAACCAAATATTTCTTCTATCTTGAAGAACTTGGCCCCGCTGTATTTCAACTCAAAGAGGGAAAGCAGCGATATTCCTATCATTCGATTCAAATGTCTACCCGGTCAGTGAATTTTTCATGTTTGGTAACAACAAGAAGTCGCAATGAGCCCATTCTGGAGAACATGGTGTATGGGCAAGCATAACGTAGTCTAATTTGACCGTAGTGACGGCGTAGATGGGAACCAATGTCATTGTGGAATTGCACTTTTTTCTACCTCAAATGCAACCGCTGTTTTGTATTTCAGTATCGATTCGACCCAAAAATACGACATCGTAGAGTCATATAAACGTTTTGCTCTTCTACAGCCGGTTGACGTAGATTACACCATTTGGTCACAGAAAACTATAGCCTTCACCTTTCCATCATTAAGATATATAGTCTTCGTTTTTTTTTTCGAGCAGGTTCGTCAACTGAAGTCCCCTGTTTCGACAATTTCTTCGTCTGTAGTGTGTATCCGTGGATCCGCGAAACGAAACTTACTTGGAGTTCAAGTTATCAGCTTCAAGTACTCCGTTGAAGCGGTCTTATGATTGCGCTTACTATCCGGAGTTGCAAACATGACACCCATAGCGGCGGCATATTTCTCAGGTACAATATTGCATTCAGATATGATCCGCGTATACTTTTGAGCTACCTACTGACTCAGATAGCTCCCGCTTCTTGAATCGGTTATGCTATGTTAATACAATGTCATGCACTTTTGAAGCATTCTTCTCCGTGGTAGCCGTTTTCTTGGCATTTAGGCATGGCTCAAAAAAACCCGACATGGGACCACCTTGAAATTCCTTAAACGAATTTTGGGCAGCCGTCGAACGAAAAAAGTTACTGAACACAGTGTCTAACTTCTTTCTCTTACACTCTTGATTTCTTTTCGAGAAGGATATTGCGATTTTCGTATTTTTCTAAAATCCACGAACACACCTCCACTCTTGTACTGATTTTGCAGGTAACATCTACGAGGTTATAAGGCAAGTACATATCAGACCGCGCTCGCATTTGTTTATCGAATTTTTTCTAAGTACAGCACTGTAGACATTGGTTAATTTTAGAAATAGTAGTGATGGGAAAACAGATTTTGTAATTACAAAATAAAATTTTAATCATAAATACTTACATTGAGTTTCTAGTATTAATTTTCCATATTTTCTAATTTGATGACATCTCATCGTACTAACGAAGACACAATTTTACAAATATTTCGTCAAATAATACGTCCATGCTTTAACTTTTTTTCATAAACTGACTACAGCATCTTTAATTAAAACAACACTCTTGCTCTGCCGAAAATTCAAATTTCCATGGAAATTTTACCTTTTATTTGTCATTGTTCAATATTGTTTGATTAATTTTCCACGCTGGCAACTTTCAACGCAACCAGGTAATTCTATTCTGCTCATAGTACTCGGTAGAATACAATTTGTTGCTTTGTATTTCGATTTAGTCGACCGAAAACAGAGTTGAAAATATCCAATTGTTTATCGAAAAGTCATATACTGTTATTAGAATTTACTGTTAAAAGCGTACCGGCTAATATCAGGTGCTGCATTCGAAGGCGAAATTCACAAAAATAAAACAAAGCAACACTTTTACGGACGTTACACAACACTATAGAGTTACCGTATTACAGCTGGTCTATTATTAAGAGTTTCTGCTTCAGTTCCACAGCCTTAAACTCATTTGAATATAAATTAAATATATTCTTGCATATCTACATATGTATGTAGTATGGTGTGTAGGTATTATATTAAAGATAGAAATTATATAAGCTGTTGCATTTCATGATATCCTAGGCGGAAATTATACGAGCTTCAAGCTGGTTCGGTGTATTTTTCAATAGTTTCGAACTGGTATGAACAGCTAAAGAATTTTTCGGAAATAACCGAGACTCGATTTCCACCTCATCAAATATGTAGCCGCAGTCTTTTGAAGATCCACCGTCTGCATGAAAAAGTCGGAGCTGTAAAATGATCGATATTTCCCTATCTGTTATTACTTTTATTTTTTTTTCATATGTTAGCTGCCTTCGATTCGCCACTTTGCTGCTCGTTAAGTTTGAGATCTGCGCTTTTGTAAAAAAATTTGCATATGAAGGCAACAACAAAGTTCTTCAGTTTTATCCATACACAAGCTAAGGATAGCATATTTAATTAATGCGTAAAACCTGTTTGTTATTTTCGCTCTCTCTTTTATTATACCTGTCTATGTAATTTATGTCAGTTGTTGTTCGATTCGACAACCTCGAAGGTTTAGCGTATTGAAGAGAGCTAATATGATTAGAGATATGAGAAAAGTACTTCAATACTCTTTTACTCAGCGTTTTCCACGCGTTGATTCAATTAATAAAATTAATTATAAACACCAAAAACCTACGATCGATTTTATTGAAAAATATTGCCGCAGCAATCCAAAATTTCCCTACAGGGTACATTTAGTTGGGTGCGAGCGCTCGGAGATTTCCCACGCATTTAGCTTGGCTTTGACGTCAAACAATCCATACATATAATGCACAACTGAGTACTCCCGGTTTATTGGTACTTCAGGCGAGCTATTTCCTGTGCATTCATTGTGCATTGTTGAATAAATATTCTTATTTATTTTCTCATTCGATATTCGGAAAGTGTATGTAGTCCATTAAATTACTTTTAGATTTTGCTGCAAGCCAATTTTGACTGAGTTCGTAACACTGTTGTTGTTTTCTTATTATATTTTCACACACTATCTGAAAATTGTGTATCGGAAATTTTGAAGTTTAATTGATGTTGAAGGAGTGTTTATAGAATTCGAAGCACATACACTGTACAACACAAATTTTTTTTTTTCCTCTCATCAGCTTTTTCTTGGCCAGCTCGCTCTCGTTGGTCGTTGCACTTATTTTGAACGACGAACTTTTCGATTTTCAATTTCACGCACAAATGATTTTTTGATTACTTCAGGTGGTAGGAACTTGGTACGAGTATACTCATACACATATTCGTTCAACAATCGTGAGTTTACTCGTTTGTGTGGTGTGCATGGGAAAAATTATCTGCTAGCTAATAACTTTATATAAATTTTACCCAAACTCGTAGCAGTTCAAATGTGTAAATTAAGGCGTTTTAGAGCAAACTTGCTTTAGTTGGCGTTGAGGTTCGAAATTATGATCGTCTAGTAAAAAGAAATCCATTATTTATGCAATAAATTGAGGGTTATGTTATAATGTCGCTTTCATAGAAAGCTGGCGTCCCTATTTTTACGAGACGACTTTTACACCAGAAAAATCTTGCTTCATAGACAGAAAGAGGTATTAACAACTTAGTGCCAGGTCTGAACTATGAGAATGATTCACATCGTTGCGGAGCTTCTGACGAGTCACAATCGATGCGTGAGACCTAACGTAGTCCTATTGAAACACAACTGCTCTCTTATTGAGCGCAACTGGCCACATCTGGGCGATTGCTTCCTTAGACGAGCCCATTGTTGACAGTAGAGGTCCGATTTAAAAGTTTGGACGTAGAATCGATATAAGACATGACGCACATTTGATTGCTCTCATATACTCAGTCTTATCTGCATGCAAATTTCTTCAAAAAATCTAAATTTTAAGTACTACTGCATAGTTCAAGAAAATGGAAACTCCAATTGCTCTATGATTTTTGACAGACAATAGCAATTTTCCACTAAAACGGGGCGCCTCTTTATACCGAAATTGCTTATGAGCTAACGCAGCAACTCTATTGTACGCGGTAAAAGCTAACCGTTATTTGGTAACCTCCGGCTTAGCAAGCAGTGCCACTAACTCACTTGCAACCGGCTGCAATCTAACGCATACAAATACCACATCGCACCTTGCAACATGCCGACGACAGACATCAATTTCCATTTGCATTTCCGTGCTATCAAAATTTCATCAGCCACCAACAATCGGCAATCAAGGCTAGACACACATACACACACCATTCACAAATACGCACAATGCTCGGCATACAATTCTTTTTTGTGATTCCTTGCAGATAAACCAATCTGGCGATACAGCCAACACATACCGGTGCAGTATGTTTACCCGAACGGAAGTGTGACTATAGCGTGCGAGGCAATCGCTGAGCCGCCAGCCAATTTCACCTGGTACAAGAATGGCAGCAAGAAACGTTTGCATAACGACAAACACCACGCCATCGAGAAGGATTTTTATGCATCCACGCTGACGATTTATGCGCGCAACGATGACGTATTCGACACGTACCGCTGCCTGGCCGAAAATCAGTTAGGCGCCATTGAACGCAACACCGTACTGAAGAGAGGCGTCAAGCCACCACCACCCAGCGTACTCCAGTTGCGTGGCTTCAATTCGAATACATTCGATGTGGATGTTGGTTCGGTGCGTGTCTCGCCGGCGCGTACTGCTCCGTCAAAAACGGAACAATTGATGGAGGTGAACGGTTTTCGTATTGAATATATGACAGAGTATGAATTCAAGTCGGATGGTGGCAAATGGACGAATGCTAAACGCCGGGACTTCCCGTTCGAAGATGGTAAATACTATATAAAAGGGGGGTGAATGACTAAAATCCCATTTCTTGATCGACTGTACTGGCGTTTGGAACACGATGCTTTTTCAGCTAACATTCTCTTACGCTGAATAAGTGCCAGAGGCCCTGAAAAGCTTGGTATCGAATGAAAATTTTAGATTTAGAAAAGATAAAAATAAAAATGAAGAAAGTGAAAAATATTGATAACAAAAGAGTTGTAGATAAACATATGTATGTATGTATATACTTGTATATAGTTTCTAGAGATTGAAACCAAAAACAAATATAGTAATGAAGATAGCGGCAGGCATGGTAGCGACAGAGATGGAGATAGTGTTGGAGATAAAGTTATAGTTAAAGCTAAAGATAACAATACAGATAGATATATAGTTGATAGAGATAGAGCTGGAGACAAAGATAGAGATATATAGTCATAAAGATAGAGGTAGATATGAGAGGTAGGTAGAGAGGGATATGGAAACAGTAATAGAGATACAACTACAAATAAAGATAGATATATGTAGAGTTTATAGAAATATAGGATATAGATAAACAGTTGGACTCACAAATAAAGTTAAAGCAGCGATAAAGCTGACTGATATATGGTAGCAACAGCAAAACAAATCTTACTATAATTTGCTCGTATGAATTGTTAGTTACACATATCTTGTGCTATTGTCAGCTTTTATGAATTCGCCTTCCACATAACGAAGCCTGTTGCTGTGCGTTCCATATGATGACCGACACTAATAAATTACCTTCCACCCAGTAACTTAGTAAATCAACTCTGTTTTGCATTTTTTCCCTCCCAAATACAGGCGCAACTTTTCTCATCAACAATCTGGAAGCCAATACCACCTATTTGATGCGTGCCGCCACCAAAAACTTGGCCGGTCTCAGCGATTATACGAAAGTCGAGAAATTCCATACACTCTCCAATGAGCCGAAATCCTCGTCAACGCATCTCGAGCACTTGAATGCCACACAGCTGTTGTGTATATCACTGGTGGCGTTGTTGTTGTGCAAGGAATTGTCTTTCGGCTTTCAACCTGTAAGCAGTATAACGAAGTTGCGACGCGCTGTCGGTGTGCGTTGGTGAAGCAAATGTGGCGCAATAAATAATAGAGCAGTGAGTAAATACGCCAGCAGCAGCAGCAGCTTTCTATTCGGTGAAAGCGCGCTAAGAAAGTATGGGTATGGGTTTCAAGTTATATATACACATGACAATAGTTATTATGTGTAAAATGTTTGCTTAGAATTAAGAGTTAAAGGCTACGAAGATTATTTATATTTTACTTAGTTGAAACACACACACCAAATAATGGAAATATACAAAACGGAAGTCTTTTAATTAAATAAATTGATAAAAAATATATATATATACGCTGATGTTTACATAAACAAATTTTAATGCTTACGATAAAAACTTAATAACATGTATATTTACATAAATATTCTATTTGCATAGCATAAAAATAATACATAATACATGGCGAAATTTTTGAACTCTGCGCTTAGGTGTTAATCGGCTTAAAAAAAAATCGTTGCCAGAATTTTATATTTATAATATAACTATAATAATATATACTCATATAAGCAAGCCAGTATTTTATGTATACGTTAATGCTTTACATTCGTTATACCTATAATTATAATTACTTATATATGCGTTTTTCATAACGACAATAGTCCATCGCAAATCTCACTCAGTTCCGTACTCACAAGTATCTCTTTTGTTTGCAAAATTCCTTTGAAAAAAAATTTTTTTTTTGTTTACTTTTAGATAATTTCGTTTTATTTTTGTAAAAATATTGCAATTTTTTATATTCTTTAATTTTACATTTCAGTATTCTTTTTACATATCATTAACAAGCTCGAATCATGTCTGTGAGCTTATTTAAGAAGCTTTATATACAATTTATTTTCATATAAAATTATTACAACTTTTTTTTACATTTTTATCTTTTAACACCATATCTGCAATTTTTTGTTAAAATCAGTGATTTTTCTTTTAATTTTGATAATTTTAAGCTTTTTATCATCCCAAAAGGGTTTAAATCAAGCGTAAATATAAGTTTTATACATAATAATGCCACTTCATTTAATCATGTCCATTATAAATTTAGCATAGTTCTTTACTAAAACAAAAAAAAAAGTTTCATTGTAGAATTGGGTTTCAATTTGAATATAAAAATGTTTTTTAATGAAGTGTGTTTGGAACGCTCTTAATATATGTATATGTGCCTTTCTTTTAATACCTATTTATTCTTGGAACAAAAATATGAAGATTTTGCATTTCGATTTCGCTCGATATCATATTCACTTAGCCATTATTAGCAAAATAGAATTGTTGCAGAAGCGGCAGATTTTGCAACTGAAATAAACAAAAACTAATTTATTATATAAAATAACTATATTTTGTACAGTGTTGTCTCGTTTTTTTTTTTTACTTCCTGCGGGAAATTGATTTTGTCGGTGTCACCATGACAAAGTTTAGACACATTAACATTACTGAAGCTCTTTTTTTAAGATGTGAGTTTTTATGTAAAATCAAAAAATAATTAGAAGAAAAATTTTAAACTCTATGTCCTTTTAATAAAATTAATGTAAAAACTTTGTTTTAAGCTTTATTCAAAAAGTTCAAAATTTTAAACAGAGAAATACTAAATTCTCCATACATACATAAATGTCAGAAGTTGCGTTCTAAAGGATGACTATAATAAGGTTTTAACGATCACTAAATGCATGTACATATACATACATACGTATATTTTGTATGTTTTATTTTTTTTTAACTTTTTTTTTTTAATTGAGATCATTTTAATTTTGTTTTTATTTAATTTTAATTTTTTCATAAATTCTCTTATATTTAGCTTTTAATTCTTTGTTTAATTTTAATTTTTAATATTAACTTTTTATTTTTTAGTTAACTTCTAGCTGTCTTTGATTTTAATTATTATTTATTTAATTAATTTTAATCTTGTTTGTTTCATTTTAATTTTTTTAATCAACTTTTAATTTTTTCTCTTTTCATTTTGATTATTATACGCTCGCAACTCGTTGCTACAGAGTATAATACAATAGTTTTGTGCACCTAACGGTTGTTTGTAAAACCTAAAACTAATCGAGTTAGATATAGGGTTATGTATGTGTAAATGATCAGAATGAAGAGACGAGTTGAAATCCGGGTGACTGTCTGTCCGTCCGTGAAGCTATAAAAACATATTCACTGGGAACAAATGCTTTTAGCATCTCTATCGACGGTGTGAAATTTTTTTATTTAACTTTAATTTTTTTATTTTTATTTAATTTTTTTTTATTTCATTTAATTTTTATTTGGTTTAATTTATTTATTTTTGTTATTATTTATTTAGATAATTTTAATTTGTTATTTTATTTTAATTTTTTGATTTAACTTTAAGTTTTTTTTTTTTAATATATTAATACATATATATTATATTCATTTTAAATACATTTTTTTTAATATATAAGTTTTTCATTTAACTTTTAGTTTTGTATTTAATTTTAATTTCTTATTTCTCCACTTAATTTTTATTTGTTTGTTTACTTTTAAATTTTTATTTGATTTTAATTTTTCTATTTAACTTAAGCTTTTAACTTTTTTAATATTGTTATTTTTTTACTTGAAAATTCTAATTTTTTTTAAAATTTTTTAAATATTTTTTAGTTATATGTTTTTATTTAATTAATTGTTTTTTATGTATATACTTTTTTTATTCAACTTTCAGTTTTTGACTTAATTTAAATTTTTAGTTTTTCTCTCTTTTGCTCACTTTTTTTTGACATTTTATAAATTTAATTTTTTATTTGATGTTCTTTACCTAATTTTAATTAATTTAATTTTTATTTATTTTTTAATTTAATTGCATTTTTTTATTTAACTTAAAAATTTTTAATTTTTTTAAAATATTTTTTCTATTTGATTTTATTTATTTGTATTTTTATATATGTATACTAAATTTTTTGAAATATGTTATTTTAATTAACCTTAATTTTTATTTTTCTTTTATCTTTGTTATTAAATTTTTATATGATGCTTCCCTTTTTTATTTAGTTTCTTTTTTTTTTTTATAAATTTTCAATAATGAATACAGCTTCCTGTTATGTATTCCGAACATTTATTTAATATTTACACACATCTATGTACGTACATAAATGAAAATCGAAAATTTCACAGATTTCATTTCCTGAAATGCCTCAAATATTGAAATTGTATTGAAAATATATGTATGTAAGTTTCTATGAATTCGGCTAAAGTAAATAAAGCAAAAATATAATTGAAATTAATATATTTATGTATGTACTGTGAATTTTGATAATAGAACAATTTATGACGAAAATAAATGAAAACAACAATAACAAATGTGCGTTGCAAATGCTTAAAGCAGCAAAATTTAGAGAAAACTCGAGTATAAAAATCATTATATTTTATGCTATAGAAATATTTACATAATAACGGTCTATGCATATAAACAGTTAACTTATAATTACATAACCAGATAAAAATGGGTACGATTGTAAAAGCTAATTGTACGCGCTAATTGTTGTTACGTGCCAAAATATATATGTGCTAAAGCTACATGCCAAATTATATAATAAAATTTAAAATAAAATACAATAACAAAAAACAATATCTCTATGTATAATATGTGAAAATTTGTACATTAGAAATATATTTTAAGCAAAATGGATATTTAAAAAAAAACTACATACATACAAACATATATAACTACATATAATTTTATTATTTGAGCGCTTCACACATACTCGTAGTAATATATTTTTATTATTACTTTTAAATGCTATAGGGTATATACGTGAACATATACATACAAACAAGCATATGCACATAGGTTGGTTCTTATTTGTGCCAAAAATTTTACTACAGTTTTTCTCATACACAGTAGCCAATGTGCTTATAAAATTTGAACAAAATTTAAAGTTTAGAGAGAACAAAGTTCAAATTTCTTAATCGCCAAACATCTTTACCAAATTTTATATGGAAAAATTTTTGCTCTAAAGCGAATAATCTAAAAAGCATCGTACAATTCATTTTTTCAAGGATCACCCTAATGTGTACATATATATGCATACATATAACTTATAACTGCATATAGCGTGAAGTTACACCAAAACCACTATAATTTCAAAACCAAATTCCTAACCAAACAGATTTGTTAGAGTATACCGTTAATACTGTTATAGTCAAAGGCCCCACTTTTCTATGGAATTTTCAATAAATTATATGTCACAAAATTAACAAGGCGCTGCAACATATACTCTCAAAAACACACATACTTTCTTACTCCAAAACACACACGTACATATACACTCAAATACACTTGAACGCATTAATTAAATATGTATATGGAAACGCATGAAATTTGTACTTGTTTTTGTATTCGTTTACAGCTAAAATCTAAGCGCATAATTAACTTAAAAACAAATGTTATAGCATACTCATTAACATTTAAAATAAACAAGCATACAAATAAATATATAAACATATTATATGTATGCAACATATTTGAATTCGAAATATATATATTTACGTATGTAACATAAACGCGGTCAGCCATTGTCTAACGAAACGGAAATAAACTGAAATAAATTATTTGTATAAATGTAAAATATTGTTGTTGTTGTTATTATTGTTATTTTTCCATTATGTGCGACAGTGCTGCTTTTGCAATAAATTAGCTAATATTGTATGTGAAGACAACGAGCAAGTGGCAAAGCAATGAGGTAGGTGGTATGCACAGTGTGCTGGGTTTGCTAAAAATTTGGATACTTTTTATGCTTTTATTAATTTTTTAAAATGTTTTAATTTATTACTTTTTTTTTAAATATATTTATTTATTTTATTATTATTCTATTTTTAAGACCTTTTTTTATTATCTATACATTTCTTTAAATAAATATGCATATATTTTTTTATTTATATGAAGTTTTTTAATTATAATTATTTATGCTTACAATCGATTTGGCTACTGAAAGTTCAAATAACGTATATAAAAACGTCTCGAGAGTCGAAAAACAAATATTCCATTTTATTTCCCGTTTAATAAGCCGCATCCTAAAATAGTGGACGTAAGTGGTTCACGAATCTTAAAACGTAACACAACCAACACACACATAACTAAGCACAACACGAAGTTCGCAATTTTTCAGTTTTCTTTAATATCGCTGATCTACCAGGCGAACATAACCGCACAGAAGGCAGCCAGATTCCACACACTCAACTTCAGCTGGATAACAACAAAAGATCGTTTCGATTACCACATTTTCGCTGAGTAAACATACTAACACAGCAACCGCTACATGCATTCCTCGATTAAAAAAGGGTTGCCATGTAAAAAATTTACATCACAAGATTACAAAGGATTAAAAAGCACCGCTTTAAGGTAACCGATAAATCAACAGGCGAACATGCAAAATAGGAGGTAAAATACAGAACAACTCAAGTATGAGCGTTAATAATAGCAGCAACAAATGATAAGCGCGACTACAGGGTGATTAGGCACAAAGCTTGGATTTACTTAAAATTTAAATAAATAAAAAATTGAGTTTAATAAATAAACAATAACATTAGGAAAGTAATATTTTGAAACAAAAAATATATCGTATTTAATCTAATTTTATTGTAAGCTACTAAAATTGGTGAAATAGAGCAAGTTTTTACATTTTTTATTTAGCACACTAAACTTAGGCGAACGCAACTGATAAAAAAAAGAGTCGTTATTGTCACAAACTTTAATTTCTTTATTAAAAAAAATTATCGAAAGTAAAAATTACATCTGGATCACCAGGCGATCATGAAATAACGTAGGGCGCTAATTAAAAGCTGCTGCATAAATTATGCCAACAACAAGCGAGCTGAGCTGCTACATTGTGATTGTAGTTTATATATTTTGCAAAATTGTCAAAAGCTTTAAGCACACAAAATATATGCAGTTGGTGGTCCCCTCTATTGTGCGGACCAACAAAATCGATCAAAATTTCACATTTTTGCAGCGCACCAAATTACCAGGCGCACATAATTGCTTAGCAGGCTGCGAGTAGCAACAGGTAAGCGCACTTTATTTTTAAGACTACGCCTTTCGTTTGCTGCTTGCCAATAACAAATATATGTTTCAATTACCAACTCGTTTCTTAGTAAAAAAACAAAACATATACAAACCGCTAAACGCATTCCTTTTGAAATGATTGCCAAGTGAAAGTATTTTCACATTAAAATTTTGCATTTATTATAAAATAGAAAATAATAGTTACTTATAATTTCATAAATTTATTTTTTAGTCGATCAAAGTACAAATATCATGTAATATTTAATAATAAAAAAATTTATGACTACAAAATTTTTTAATTGTAATATGTAATATAATATTAAAAAATAGATTAAAAATAAAAGTACTAGGCCTTCAGAATCATTAAATTGCCACCAGTCATTCAGCAGACGTCTTCCACAAGTGTTTGCAGCGATTTATAATATCCAGGGAATACTTGTGTGGTAATTTAAGACACACGTTGTTTGTTAATACTTTAGTACTATATGATTATTCTAAGAAATAAGGAAATTAAAAATGGTAATTAAAAAATTATTTAATTTCAAAAAATTAATAATAAAAGAATTTAATTAAAAAATAACAAAAAATTTTAACTTTTTTATGGCGCATTACATTAACAGGCACGCATAATGACTATAGTAAGCATCTGCTGCTGATCGTGGGCGATGCCATTCGTACTAGAGACTTCGGCAGCTGTGTGCAGCAGTCTAAGAGCAAATCTACGTTTCAACTGCCATGCTGTTCCTAAGGGTAAAAAAAAACAACGGTTAATTGTGTTTATTATTAGTATAAGAGTATAGTATTCAAAGAGGATTGTCGAGTATAAAATAATAAAATGCAACATAGAAATTATCAATGAAATAATTGTTTTTTTAATAATGTTTTCTTTGAGGATAAAAATTTTACATATAAATTTAGAATAGAATAAAATTTGCAAAAAATTAAATGATAATACAAAATAAGTTTATAATATTTATTAATAAATAAAGCATTAATGATTGAATTATTTATTAAAATATTATACAATACATTACGATTTTTTTTTTTTCTTGGTATAAATACTTTATTAAGCGCACATATGTATGTATGTAAGTGGAAACAGCCACTCACCTTAAGCTAAAGCATTAATATTGGTAAAGTGTTAATGTACGAGTATGTAATAGGTTAACGAATAATTTCCCCAACTTTTTAATATTCCTCAGTATATCCACAAATGTATATACAAACATAAGCTATTAACAAAAACCCTTGTACGAGCACTGGCCTTACCACAGGTAACAATTTTCTGGAAAAAAAAACAACAAAATCAACTTGTTTGTATATTAGAGGTATTACGAGTGTAGGCAAAATATCAGCAAAAATATGTTCCAACCAAAATTCAAAATAGACTAAAAATGTAGTTTAAAAATAAAAGCAAAATTGCTTGTAGCAGCAAACGAGTGGGAGAAAAGCCGATGATGACGGTACGCTATTAAACGGTATCAATTTGTATTCTTGCCTTACTTTATGCATGTTCCAATTTTCACTCTGTGCTAAAGTAGACACATGTACATACTTACATAAATATTTTTACAAATACTAAAAGCAGAGCTGCCAAATAATAATATTTCGCGATTGTTTTATTTATTATAATATTTTTTGTTTACACTATTATACTATTGGGAAAACCATGTCAAAATAAAAAAATATATATAAGCAAAGTTATGAATATTATAATGTACTATTATTAAATTTTATGATATAAGCAAAAATTGCCGATGAAAGTCAACACCACATAAGTTTAAGGATGGCTGGTGCTCTCCATCAATTTGCGACAGCAATGATTTGACTTTTCTTATCCGCCGTTGACTGTCCATGCGTAAAATAAACTGCATAAAAATTTACTAAAAAAAATTAATAAAATAAAGTAGAAATTTGTATATACTAATTACATGAAATAAATTAACAAAATTAATCAAGACTGACAGACAAGATTTATGGTGAAAAAATAGGAGTGAGGGTTTTTCGTCTAAAACGAATTAAGCTGCACCAGTTGGTATGTATTGTAGTAACTAGTTTGAAAATAACTATATACGGTAAAAACTATTTTTTTCTGGGTGTTCGATCAAAAAAATTTTTCTCGCGAGATTAAGTCATAGGTAAAAAAAAATTATATCTTTTATTATTCAAAATTATTAACCCGGTTTTTACCATTCATATCGTTTGTTTTATAAACCTGACCAGAGAATTATATATTCGTACAGCATTGAGAGGAAATAAGAGGAAAATGTGGACGATATCCATATTTGACATTTTTTAGGAACCTAAATATTATAAAAAAAAATAATTCTGTCAATTTGCTAAATTTCGAAATTCTAGGGCATATGTTTTTAACTATATTTGTTTATATTACAATATATATTGTTATTTATTTATTATACTTATATACCGGAGATTATTTATTTGGTTATAACTCAATCTCTTGAAGAAAATTAGTTTTGTATAATATCCAGCCAAGTGTTGTACAGGAAAATAGTTCCAAAAATAGATGGCTATGATTTTTTTTTATATAGTATAGAGGGCTAGTTTTGAAGGCAATGATATAATTAATTACACCTTTCAGGTTACTGCTGCAATTTTTTCGTTGAATAACCTAATAAAAAAAAATTAATTTTCTATGCTAAAATATTATATATAGGGCCGCTACGAGCAATATAGAAGATTTGCAGACGTCGTTCGATAACAACTATAACTTGCAAACAGAAATATTTAAAAAAGGCTCAGCTCTTTCTGAAAGACTTTTTTTATACCCAAAAGAGGATATACTAAGTCTGCCACCATATTTGCAAACACCCAAAAGGAAACGTTGCATGGCCTATAAAGTAAAATAAAAATAATCAGCGTAACACGCTGAGTTGATTCAGCCATGTCCGTTTTTCTGTCCTATTATCTGTATGTATGCCAACTAGTCCCTCGTTTTATGACATATCGATCTTAAATTTTTCACACGTACTTTTCTCACCAAGAATCTGCTCATTTGGGGGAATCACCAATATTAGACAACTGTAGCATATAACTGCCAGGCAAACTGATCGATCAAACTCAAGTCCTTGTGTTGATATAGATTATTATATAAGGCATCGTTACAATCTTCGAAGAAATTGTTCAGTTCGAACCAGTATAGTATATAGCTGCCATACAAACTGAATGATCGAAATGAAGTGCTTGTATGGAAAACTTTTTCGTTTGATAAGATATCTTCCAGAAATTGGGCATGCATTATTGCTCAAGGCATCGGTTCATTCTACGAGGAAATTGTTCAGATCGGATTACTATATCATAAAGCTGCCATACAAGCCGACGAATCAAAATCAAGTTTTTGTCTGGAAATCTCTTTCATTTAATAAGATATCTGCACGGATTATTGCCTAAAGTAAAGCTATAATTTCCGATAGCTATCGAAACAGTGCTTATATGACGACCATACTTGAGGACTTTCAATATTTTATCGATATTTGTGGCAATTGGTCTTCCAGAAAGGAGTGCATGTTTGCCACTAAAATTACCGGAACGAAAACCACGAAACCAAAATTGCTCGTGATTGGCTGTTACAGCAACAGGAACATAAGTGGTTTTCACATTTGCAGCAATTTTTGCCTTTATTAAAAAATAAAATGTAAATTTTTCGTATTTCCTCCTTGGTGGTATCCATCTATGATGTGTGTAAAGCAATACTGAGCCAAGTAATCACAAAACTCTTTGATCGGCTTTTTTAGTACGAAGTCTTATTCTTCTTAAGCCATATAGCGTAACCCGAGCACACTTATACAACGAGGAAAAAATCAAAGATTACTATAGCCATGTATTGTAAAAATAAAAGATTTATTTTTATTAGAGCTTCTATAATTTTATGCAATAATAGATATTATTAATGGCCTTTAAACACTGTGACCGCGCACCCACTATCGGTACGGTGACCACATGGCGTATGATGAACATTAATTTAACTGTTTGCTAGCGACCACCGACAATACCGCAGCGCGCATATTTACCTCTCTTATGCACAAATACACTCACACATACATATTATACGCATGCATATGGCCGCGTTCATACGTGCACCAATAATTACAGTTGCGCCACAGATAGTTGTCACAGGCCAGCGGTGGGAAAATTAATGCACGCAGCATTAAAAATGTATTACCAAAATAAATTCGCACATTTAATGGTCAACCCGCAAGCAGAGCAAAGTCAAAAATAAATTTAAAATATTCGAATGAAAGGAAAAATGAAAACAAATAAATAAATAGAGTGATATATAGGAACAGCAAAGGCCAGGCGGGGTGCCGGTATGCATGCCACTTCAATGCAGCGCAAATATAAAACGGAATTGCAGTGGCGGATTAAAATGTGCAAATGTCATGCCCAACGCACGAGGGTGGCGGCCATTGAATGCATATTTTATGGCAAATGGTGCACGCTGAAGCCAAGAGAAAGAGGGAGGGGAAAAAATGAAATGAGTGAACGAGCAAAAGGTGGTGGGTGGCTGGAGGCGGGTGGCTGGCGATGCCAGTGACGCACGCGTCAAGAATGCAAGAGCGCAGAGCTGCAGCGGATAAAGCAAAACCACCGAAATCCGCTATTGAATTGCAGCAAACAATAAATGACCCAATCATTGCAGTCAGTAGGGCGCATTAAACTTATGTAAATACTTGCACACACACACACACACATACAAACAGTGAAGGGGCTGTGTGCTTGCTAAATATGTGTGTGCGTGAGTTTTTGAATGCACGAAGCGGGTGCAGAAATGAAAATGGTAATCGTTTATGTGTGCTTGTAGCGGTGGCAGCTCACATTGTATGGTTTATGGTGCTGTTGGAAAATTGGTAATAAAAATTGCATGTTGCAGCTGCATGCATGATAGGTAAAATGGTGAATGAACACCACATATACCTTTACTTTTTTGCTGTTGCTATTTTTTTTTGTGCTTTTTATTCACTTTACAATTTATCGAATGTGCTCGCATGCTTTATATATTTTTAGTTTACGACGCTTGAGGTATGTTCTGCTTATTTAACTTTATTTATTAAATTGCACTTTCTTGAGTTGTATATTTTTCATTGTTGTATTGAGTTGCATAAACTTTACAATCTAACGGTTGTTTGAAACCACTTAATCTATTGTATATGTGATAGATAGAGTTGTACATATATTATTGTATATATATAAAAATTATCAGCATGAAGAGGCCAATTGACTTTTGGCTCTCAATGCAAGGCATAATTTGCTAAGAGCTCGAGCTTTCTTAGTAAATTTGGTACATGTGCTATTTGGTTCTCAAGGAAGGTTGATAATGCAGGCTTTTTCTTCCATAAGCGAGAGTATTTGAAACCAGAAAAACCGTTAACTTCGGTTCCTCCGAAGCTAGAATACCCTTCACAACTCGAAAAATTTCAATATCAGAACTTTATATTGATCTGTCAGTTGGTATAGCAGCTATATGCTATTATTATTCGATTTCAACAATGTGCTCGGAGATTGGGGCGCCGATTTATGCTAAATTTAGTGAAGATATCTCATTTGAAAAAAATGTTTCTATACAAGCACTAGATTCCGATCGTTCAGTTTGTATGATAGCTATATGATATAGTGGTCCAATATCAGCGGTATCGGCAAATGAACAGCCTCTTGGTAAGAAAAAGATGTGGACAAAATTTCATATCGATATTTTAAAAATTGAGAAACTAGTTTGCATACATACAGACAGATAGACGGTCACGGCTTAATCGTCTCAGCTCATCACGCTTATCATTTATATATACATAGTTTATAGGTTCTCCGTTATGGGTGTTACAAACTGTTCAAGATAAAAATATCAGATTTTGATGGGTAATTCTCATTGCGTACCGTTTACTTAGCAAAATCGTACGATAACCACACTTACATAGCGCTGAATGTAATGTTGTGTGCCCTAAGTTTCTTAACGGTCGATCTCTGAAGTATCAACAAAGATATAGATATTAGCAGTATATAGTATGAGTGGTAACTCTGATCATATTCTCGCTCCATAGTTTCTGCTAACTCTTTGGTATGCCACAACTGCCGGTTCTAAATTTACACAACAGTCGGTTCTACGTTACCGAAATCGACTTGGATTTTATCTGGCTAAGGATTGTTATTTTGAGTTTCTAACCCTTTTTGGATCGGCAAGTAATAAATTTCAAATACCGAATATAAAGATCTTCGTTACTTCGGTTGAATTTCACTCTCTCTTTCTCACTTTTTTCTTAACGGTACCAAAAATATCTGCCAATCTTTAAAACTAAGCGAGATTTGTAGTGTTATACGTATCAAAATTATCAGTATGACAAGGCGGTTTGGATTTCGGACGTCAGTCTGTTCGTTTGCAGAATCGGGTGAATACTTGCTCCATATACCAAACCACAATACCTAATATAAGTATTGTCAAACTTCCGGTTAATATCATACCGCATATTTTTGACAATATGTAAGACATATTATAAAAATTAAGTGAGCGATTACTCCTGAATATATTTGTTGGTGAAAATGAATGTAATCGAACCACGAATTACCCCAGTCACTATATACCATAAATATTGATATTTCTTATACATTTAAAT